ACTTAAGAACCCCAGGCGTCCCCAAGTCAGCTGCTGCTGAAACTGATCAGCAGCTGATTCCAGGAAGCCCGGGGCAGAGCTTTCCAGGAAGCCTCCGTGGCTTTGCTCCGTGTCCCCCCCCTCCAGCAGACCAGGGAGACGCAGAGCGGCTTTTCTTGCCGCGGCTTTGCTCCGCATCTCCCTGGTCTGCGTGCCTAATTGGAATACAACCTTTTCAGAGAGCTAGTGTACTACAAGTAAAACAGCAGCCTCTCTCCCCCGTGTTGCCTCACTTCTGCTCCACATCCTTTAACAACTTCTTCCAAAAACAATTGTTGGTGTGATGAGGGCCTGGGAGGGAGCAAATAATAGAAAATAATGAAATGCATAATTTGCAGTGGGATACACATAAGGAAAGATCTATAGAGTTTGGAAAACCAGGAAGATCATCTGAATTAGATTAAGAAACATAGATAAAGCCAGTGAAGGTATAAGAATTATTTAGTTAATGGTTTATGGTGGTCAGCTCCACTGATTGCTATTGTGGTAAGTCTGTCAAATACTAAAAGGCAGAGATAATGAATGGGAGGAGAGGACATGAGATCATGTGCCCCCCAGGTTTCTGCCTTCCATTTGGCTTTGCTTTCTGAAGGGATGTAGCAGGGCAGAGCCCACCCAATCCCCTGCCATCTTTAACTGCAGTGAGATGAGAAGGGGCTGAGCCCACACCTCCCCGCATTCTCCACTGGAGTATGAAGCAACCTGTATAATGGGACTGCAGTGAGCTCCTCCCCTTCTCCCACCATTCTCTTCCACTGCTCCTTCCAGGCTTATATCCCCAAGCAAAACCTCCCCCAGTCAGTCACAGCCTCACCTGCCTCCCTCACACAGCCCACTGGCCTTGCAGTCTACAGGACTCCCAATCACAATCCCGCCTGCCTCCCTCAGTCCATTGGCCATACACTTCACACGATAGGACTTCTCATGTCTGAATGTCTGCTCCAACTGCTGGCAAAGTAAGTTTTAACTTGGCAGCAAGTAAGTTTTAACTTACCTCATGTCTCCCCCGTTCCAGAGGTAATATGTTGGGTTGGTCATGTGGCCCCAACCTTTACATTGTAGCCCCACCATGTGTCGTCTCTGCTAAAAGGTTTTCAGTGTTATAATCTGTATAAAGTTGAGAGCTTTACAAAATAAACAAAAAAATTAGAAGATTATTTATTTTATGATTTTATTTTTAGTTTTAAACAGCATGCAGCATCTCTTGTCTGATGGACATTATTTCCTTCACAACATATACAACATCCCACTTCCCCAAATCAAAACCAGATGGAAGTATTACAAGAAGCCATTTACTGCCAAATACATATAAAGCAAATAAAACATTACAATACTTAGAAATAAAAATACTTTGTAGAACACTTGATATTTTGAAAATGTTCTATAAGTAGTCAAATATTCATTCATTCTAGTGACACATCCTTAATTAAAATAATGAATTTAAGAAACCTTTCTTAGATCTTGAACTTTGTTGGATGCAAGCCAAGCTATCCAGCTCCCATTGGCTTGCTTTCATTTCAGCCCAATTTACTATTCTCAGATAGTCTAGAATTTAGCTTATCATCATTTTGTGATCAACTATCTAGTTGTCCAGTTTTTTATGAAGATCATTTTAAGTGCGTTGTGCGGAAATTCAGATATAATGCGGTCACACATTTGTTTTTCAGGAAGCTACTGGAAAAAGAGGTTAGTTACTTTATATAATTGATGTTCAAGTGATTGTCTATTTATATTCCAGTCTTGGATGTTTGCATACCCCTATACCAAAGATTAGAATTGTTTAGAACAGCAATGATTTCTGGCCCATGCCTGTGCCCTACCTGCCCTGATGCCCCTCTTCTAAGGATATAGAGGGGCAGGAAATTTAAAGGGGATATAAAATTATTGCATTATGGTTTCCAGATACACTGCTGCTACCAAAGAAGGCAAACATCCTTGAGTTTAATATAACACGGCAGTCCTGTTTCCATTAATTAGCATGGCTACACATAGAGCTGCTAAAATGTTTCCACTGCTACAATTCTGTAAAGCTAAGCCTTGTGTTTATATTTTTCTAGGCCACAGCTTTCTATAGTGAAAATAATTACAAAGGAATAATTGCAAAGGTTAAGGGGGAAAATACCACTGTTAAAAGATGTCAACACATTCTAAAATATAGAGTGGTTTAGAACAAAAATACATTATATATATGTTTCTGACTACATTGCCCCTGAAATTCCTCTTGCTGTCAAGCTTCACAAACAAACACCAAGAAATTGAATTACGCATACCATCAGTTAGATACAGAGAGGTCAATTGTTCCCCATGTAGTTGGCTACTTAGGGCAGTGGTTCTCGACCAGGGGTCCATGTATCTTGTGGAAAGGCAGAGGTCTTCTAGGGGGTACGTCAATTCATTTAGATATTTGCAACAAAGTTACATAAAAAGCATTAGTGAGGTCAATACAAACTAACATTTCATACGATTTATTTATCCTGCTGTATATGCTATACACTGAAATATAAGTACTATATATTCCAATTGATTTATTTTATAATTATATTGTAAAAATGAGAAAGCAAGCAAATTTTTCATCATAGTATTCTATGATGTTTCAGTATTTTTATGTTTAATTTTGTAATCACGTAGTTTCTAAGTAAGGTGAAATTTGGGATATGCAAGACAAATCAGACTCCAAGGAGTACAGCAGCCTGGGAAGGTTAAGCACTGATTTAGGATACTTTTGCATATTTTCCCCAATTACCTCACCTAACTCAGGCTATGTCTAGACTGCAGGCTTCTTTCGGAAGAAGCTTTTCTGGAAGAGATCTTACGAAAAACTTCTTGCGAAAGAGAGGGTCCACACTGCCAAAGCAAATCGAAAAAGCGATCTGCTTTTTCAAAAGATAGAATCCACACTGAATGGACACACTCTCACATTTAAGCTATGATTACTATGGATGGAGAGGCCACCAGGGCACCTGTGCTTTTTTTTCTTTCCTCTTCTTTCTAAAGGACTCCCTCTTCCCCGTCCACACATGCCTTTTTCCGAAAGAGCTCTTTCAGAAAAAGGCTTCTTCCTTGTAGAAAGAGGTTTATCAATGTCTGTTCTTTCAATTTTTTTTCAAAAGAACACAATTACAGTGTGGACATAAGTGAATTTTTTTCAGAAAAACAGCTGTTTTTCCGAAAAAACTCTGCAGTGTAGACATACCCTCCTACACAACTGTAGCTTGAATTAGTGTCTTTTTAAACCAGTCCAATGCTTGAGCAGAAAAATTCAAAAAATGTTATGTTTATTAAAGATTTGAAATAAAATAGTTTAACAAAAGTTTTCTTTCAATGAAGAGTTGATCTATTTCACCTTTTACTTACCTTCTCTAAACAGAAACTGTGAGCCTGTGTGTGTTAAGCCTTTCTTAGTTTTAGTTTGTGCCTGCAGGAGTAGGAAGTAAGTTTAACTGCCATGTTGCCTCTTGAACACTTTTCTCTTACCCACCTTCTTTGTATGCAAGTTCACATAGATGAAGGGCATCCTCTCCTGTATCTAAACTTAGTTTCTCTAATTATTCATCAGTCATAATTAGAGATCGTCTACCTTTTTCAATTATCCTGTACCTTGTCTGCTCAATTAATAGTTCCCTCA